TTTAAAAAAATTGTATATTTACTAGGCTTATACCATCAGATGGAGGAAGCATTTTAATACAAGTCTTTTCCCTACCAACTATAGAGGTCAAGCTTGTTTAAAAAATTTTTGATCTTATCAAAATAAAATGATTTGGAAATCCAGCAAAAATGATTAACACAGTCGTGGAGTTTTAGGAACCTCCCCAGGGCAAGTAACATTTGAACAGTGTTTTTCAGCAGATAACGCAGAAAAGACAGATGGAGGAAGCATTTTAATACAAGTCTTTTCCCTACCAACTATAGAGGTCAAGCTTGTTTAAAAAATTTTTGATCTTATCAAAATAAAATGATTTGGAAATCCAGCAAAAATGATTAACACAGTCGTGGAGTTTTAGGAACCTCCCCAGGGCAAGTAACATTTGAACAGTGTTTTTCAGCAGATAACGCAGAAAAGACATTGCAACAACAGGATCAAGTAGAAACTGCGAAAGGATTCGCTCTACTTGGGAAGAATGGGAGGTTTATTACATAGAGGAGCTTCACAGCAGGAAATGAGGATGGACAGGCAAGACCTTGAACTCGTGGCAGAACACTTGTATTTTGGGAAACCCACAGTCAATTATAAAGGCAGAGGTTCTCAAGACTCACAATACCTTGCTGTAAATGAACCATGCAAGCACACTTACTGCCTGTATCACCGTGGCAACACAAGTACCCCTCTGAGCTGTAGGTTCTTCATTATAAGGAAGATAGTTTTAATAGCATTTATCTCTTAGGATAGCTATGAAGATACATGAGACTGTGCAACTGAAATACTCAATAAAAATTACAAGTATCAGTATTACTGTGATGGATAATCTTGATTGAACTGAAAAGAAGCTAGGACATTAGCTAAGCATACCTCTGGGTGTGTCTGTGAGGCATTTCAGGGATTAACTGAGGGGAGTGGGACCATTCCACACTCCTGAATGGAATAAAGGAGACAAAAGAAGGAAGCCAATAAGCACAGGCATTCTCTCTCTGCTTCCTGTCTGCCATGAGGTGAGCAGCCTCCTCCTCCATATGCTCCTGTTACCATGGTGTCCAGCTTTATTTTAGGCCCTATATAGTGAATTCTGGCAACCACAGACTAGAATCTCTGTAATAATGAGCCAAAATAAACTATCCCCTTTAAGTTGTTCCCTTAGGTATTTGCATCATAGTTATGGAACAGTAACTACTACCCAAAAATATTGTTCTTGTGTGCATGTAAATGGGGTTCCAAAGGCTTCTTCTGTAATAAAGAGAAGAAGTGTAGTGATAATTTGATATAAAAATTATAGGAATGGGAGCCTAGAGATGCAGAGCTGAAACAAAAATCTAAGTGATCAAGTAGAATGGAGGAGACATTTTTGCTAGGATTACAGAGTCCAGAAGATGTGGATAATGAAACAAAATGAACCATCAAATGAATAAAAGCAAATGAATTGAAAAATTCATAAAGCTCTAATGTAGGAGCAGAAACTTGGACAAAAAGAACACTGTATATAAAGATACAGAAGTGTAAATGATCAGGTTGTATTTAGAAAACGAAATGTATTATCTTAATCGAGTGTGGGGTTGGTAGTAATGTATAGTAAAAACTGAAAAAAAACTATTTCTAACTATTAATCTGTAAAAAGCATTGAACCTCATGCTGAGTTATCTATCTCTCCTCCTATAAACAGTGGATACCTATACATTGTTTTTGATATTATCAATGATTTGATCACTATATTCTATACTGGGGCTGGATAGATGATGGCTCAGTGGTTAAGAGCACCGACTGCTCTTTCAGAGGACTCAGGTTCAATTCCCAGAAATGACACCGTGGCTAACAACCATCCGTAACTGCAGTTCCAGAAGATCTGATACCCTCTTCTGCACAACATGGGTATACTTACATACATGCAGGTAATGCACTTATGCATGTAAAAATAGTATTTTTAAAATATATATATTTTATATTTAGAAATATAGCATCTGGTCACAGTATGTTGGATGAAATGAGCATGTGTTTATGATTAGTAAGCTAAGGAGATGTCATATTCATATTCCATATTGAATGGAAAAGATTTTCCTTTAGAGACAACTAGACTGAGAAACCTTCAAAGGAAAGAGACCTATCATAAGGCAAGCTATGTGTGTCTCAGTGAAGATTGCTTGAGAGCACTTGTCACGCACAGGAGAGTCTTTGTGTTAATGTGCCTGTTAAGTCTTCTCTCCTGATCTGCTGTTTGCAGATGACATGCTACTTACCACTTAAGTATCTTACCTCCTCACACAGGGATTCCCTGACTGAACAGACAACAGTGGTGCACCCTCCCATCATAGAGCTCCTACATACTTGGATCCACATGGTTCCCCATGCAATGAACTGTCTAGCACACCATGGACACCTAGTCAATGTAAGATGAATGGATTTATGACCTCTGAAAGGCACTCAGCTCTTCTCACCAAACTTTGGTTCTCTTTAAAATCTCCCTACCATAGACACTTACGAGGGTTACATGAGATAGCACTGTCCAACCCCAGTATACTTTGTAGCTCATTATCAGTGTTGAATGGTGCTGGCTACATGGCTAGACTCCTATTGTATTCTGCACCCAAAGTACAAAGTACAGCAACTCTTCAAATAATAATATAATTTGTCTTTTATCATCTTTTTCATTAATATCTGTGACTCGTAGAATGATTATCAACTGGCGCCTCTGTACCTCTCTCCATCCCTTCCTTTTCTAATCCTTTCTCTTCATGAGTTTCTTTCTATTTAGCTCTAACAGTGACAAAAGTTAAAATCAAAACTATAGGAATAGTCCTTGTGGCACTTTTTGCCTCCTAAATTCTGAATGGACTGGAAATTTAATGAACTAATGAGTTTTTTAAATACAAGTAAAAATTTGATCTAAGGAATTTAAAGTGGTTCCTTCAGGTCTGTGCTATAAAAAACACTTGGTGAAAAGTTAAATATACCAGGTGAAAAATGTGCTGGAGTTGATCAAACCATCATGACCAAATCTGTCAGCCTGAAATAAGACTTCAAAATCACTTAAATCCACCAAAGTTCAATGAGGTCCCAAGAAGTTTAGTCATTGATGGGTTTTAAAACTCTCACTAAGAACTACTGATGTAGTATATCATTTTATCATGGGTTTAAAAGGCTGAAATTACGTGATATATTCATTTATCTCATCTATTTATTTTCATAATAATCACCCTTTGAATGGTAAGGAACGCAAATTTAAATAAAATTGCCCTGAGAAAAATGTCACAATGCTTTTGGAAATTTTCATTGATTTCTCCAAAAACATTTAACAAATGCTACTATGTTCCTTTTGAATAATTTAAATGAATGGATAATTTCATTCATTTGATTCTGAATCTGCTGGAGTATGTAAAATATATTTGAAAATTTGTGCCACAAAATCCAGTGGGTGGGAACAAAGCAGTTCAGTCCATATTTTTTCATCTTCCATACAGAGCCTGATTGGAGAAGATGTACATCAAGACAAGTTTTGTGAGTAGAGCCCAGGAAGATACTGAGGCCCATTCTGTGGGATTTACATAGATTCATGAAATATTTTTCTCATCACTTAGACTCCTAACCTGGCTTCAGCCACATGCCTTTAAGTCCCTTTTTTAAAGTTCTTTAGGAATTCCTTAATTCAAGTGTTCTTGATAAAGATCCAGGTAATATCAGATCAACAGTGCTTCATAATCCTCTCTGAGTCTTGACCTTAAGCATCTATTTATTCATCTGAGGGACAAAACTGCTGTCACCATGAGGATGGGCAACCACACCACAGTGACCACTTTCCTGCTGTGGGGATTTTCCAGTTTCCCAGAACTGCAGAATCTACTCTTTGCTGTGATTTTCCTCTTCCATGTGACCATCCTACTAGCAAACGTGTCCATCATGGTGGCCATCAAGCTCAGTCACAGCCTTCACACCCCCATGTATATCTTCCTCTTTGCTCTGTCCCTTTCAGAAACTTGCACCACTATGGTAATCATCCCCCGCATGTTAGTGGACTTGCTGTCAGAGAGCAAGACCATTTCTCTCCTCCAGTGTGCCACACAGATGTTTTTCTTCTTTGGCTTGGGAGCCAATAACTGCTTCATATTGTCTGCCATGTCCTATGACTGTTACACCGCCATCCACAACCCATTGCAATATCCCATCCTGATGACCCACAAGATCTGCTTTCAGTTCATTATGGCCTCCTGTGTGCTTGGCTTCTTGGTTTCCCTGTGCATTGTCATCATAATATTCAGCTTGTCCTTCTGTAACTCTAACGTCATTCAGCACTTTTTCTGTGACATTGCACCTGTGGTCTCCCTTGCCTGCAACTGCACCTTTTTCCAGAAAGTGGTTCTCCTTGCATTCACTGCCTTTGTGCTGGTGGGCAGCTTTATTTTAATTATGGTTTCTTATGTCTTCATTCTGTTCCTAGTTGTGAAGATGCCCTCTGCCAAGGGAAGGTATAAAACCTTTTCAACTTGCTCTTCTCACTTCACTGTAGTGTTCATACATTATGGATTTGCTTGCTTTGTCTATTTGAGGCCCAAGAACAGTGACTCATTCGGGGAAGATACACTGCTTGCATTGTCATACACCATTCTGACTCCTCTGCTTAACCCCATCATTTACAGTCTAAGGAACAGAGAAATGCAGACAGCCTTGAAGAAAGAGTTTGGCAATGTAATCAGGTTTTTCCCTCAAATGATAAATAAAAGAACCCAGAAAATTTGAAAAAAATACATCATGTTGGGAAAATGGGATACTTACAAGTAAAAGCTTTTCTTAGTACACAAAGCAATTATTTTCTGGTGTCTTTCTTTTTGAAACAAGGTCTGACTATATAGGCCCAGATGGCCTAAAATTTTCTACATAGACCACACTGGCCTTGAAATCACAGAGACCCACTTGCCTTTGCCTCCTCAGTGCTGGAATTAAAGGCGTGCACCACTACGCCTGGCTTTTAGCAATTGTTTTCTGATTGCTATATTCTATCTTCACTCTTCCTGCTAAAAACCTAGATGGAATTTTAAAATATCAAAATTCCATTATATATTCATATGCACATATAATATATATTTATAAGAATACATGCATATATGTATATACTAGACATATATGCTTTGTAATGCCATATTTTCATATGACTGACTTGGTGGAGGAAAAAATTATGGTTAAAGAGAAAAGAATGGAAATGAAGGGAAGAAGGAGAGGAAAGGAAGGAGGAAGAAATGTGGGGAATAGAAAGTTTGGAAGAGAGAGGAAGAGAAGGAAAGTAGAAAGAAAGATCACTATAGGGAAAGAAAGAACACAAAACATACAACTTTAGAGTTTAAAGGGAGGAATGACCACAACACAGAAGTTTTGAGGAATTTTAAGAAAATTCTTTGCTTAACTGTATTCAAGTAAATAATGGAAACAAGATTGGAATGAAAAAATTTCTAGAAAAAAAAACTGTCAAAAGTAATCATAAAAGTAAAAGACCAGGACCTACGGCAAAGTCTTTAATAAGTGACCAGAAGGAAATAGCTGTTCAGTAATAGACTGAAGACAGTGGGATCAACAGCACCAGATAATACTGGTATCAGTGAGGAAGGGTTTTGTCAGGAAGATGGCCAATAAATGATTTAGAAATAGGGTAAAGAATCCAGTGAGTGTCAGCATGGGTGCTGGTAAGAAACAGCATCTCCTCAACAGAGCTTCAAAGATGTGTGCTTTTCTCGGAAAACTACATTTGATTGCCGGATGTGGTGGCACATGCCTTTAAATCCCAGCACTCGGGAGGCAGAGGCAGGCAGATCTCTGTGAGTTCAAGGTCAGCCTGGTCTACATAATGAGTTCCAGGACAGCTGGAGCTACAGGGAGACCCTGCCTCAAAAAGACCAAAAAAAAAAGAGCTGATAAGGACTAGAGAAATGGCTCAGCAGTTAAGAGCACTGGCTGCTCTTGCAGAGGACAGGGGTTCACTTCCCAGTACCCACATGGCAGCTAACAACTGTCTATAATTCCAGTTCCAGGAGATCCTATGCCTTCCTCTGACCTTCACAGGCATTGCATGACACCATGACACGGGTGCACTTACACACATACAGGCAATACACTCATACACATAAAAAAAATAAAATATTTTTCCTTTCCTTCCCCACCCCCTTAATTTTGTTCCAAAGAGAGGCAATTTTAACACGTTTCCAGAAATAACTTGAAGCAGGTTACATAAAAATATATATACAATGAAGTTTGAAGTTTAAGGGGGTAAAATAAGAATAAGAAATCAAAGACCAAAGGATTTGCCAACATGGGGTCAACTTTGGTGAAATAATGTTTTTTTTTTCTTTTGAAAATCTAACAAGTTTATTGGGCTTGCTAACAGAGCATAGGGTGGGGATTTATTTACAGAAGAGTGGGTGCCCCCCCCATTTATGGCTTCACTGGAAAGTCCACACTCAAATATAGATCCTGTGACTTTCCGACAGTCGCACAAAATGGCAAGAGAGATGCCTCATGGCTTTCTCAGCTTATATATCCTTAGCACCTCCCCCACATGCAGCTAAGGTCGACTGACTGGGTGGGAGAAGTAACTGTCTCCCACACTGACTCCTTCACAAGCCTGGGAAGGAGGTGTGACTATAGCTTGTTGGCACAGTGGTTGAGGACAGGTAAATGGATGGATCTAGAAACTGTTATACTAAGTAACACAGGCTCAGAAAACAAAAGATGCATGTTCTCCCTTATTTGTGGATCCTAGCACCAAATTCTTGTAAGTGACTGCATATCCTGATGTAACCACAGGAACCAGGAATATGGAAGAGAGCCAGGGAGGTAAAGGGAAAGAAGGAACCCAAAAGAGAAGAATAGTATGAGAAAGGTGTTACTAAGGAAGAAATATGTAAGAACTGGGTATTAAAAGGGTATGCCAAGGCTGATTTTAAGACAGCATCTTTCTTGTAGTTTATCTGTCTCTAGCCACTCAACAATCCATGGAATATAGATGTTGTACAGATGTTGTACCTAACACATTGTTAACACTGTGTTTTAGGCTCTTGAGACCAAATGATAATGAGAATATATATATGAGATATATGATATATGACATCATATATATGATATATGATATCAGCCACATTCACATCAAGATTACATATTTTTAATTTAAATACGAATTTTCATTGTATGTATCAAAACTAAAACTTTTAAAGATCTCTAGATAGGCTGACTAGATCCTAGTGGATGAACTTGCACCAAAGGACATGTGGGTACAAATGCTGATTGAACAGTACTTATATACATGACAAATGCATGAGGTCTGCTGGGGGGTAGAATGGGGAGGCATAGATGGGGGAAGAGGGGTCTAAATTTGACTAAGAAGTATCATATGAAACACACAAAAACTCAGAAATAATTTTTTAATCTAAAACTCTAATCAAAGGCAAAAATCCATCAGAACGGAACATATATTATTAAAGATTTTTGCATTTGCAATTTACTATTTTTATACATTTGCAATTTGGAGATTATCATCATCACTTTGCAATGATTAATCATTCATGATTCACCCAGTTTCGATTGCCTAATGCAGATATAATATGTTTATGTCGGGCAAAAAAAAAAAAGGATTTTTACAGTTACTCTATACAAGACATACAAAAAAGAAAAATATAATATTCTCCCTACATCTTGTTCCACTATGTTCCATGAGCCTTGGGTGTCTACACCTACATCTTCTATTATAGATATGTCACTTAATGTTAGCACCTCACAGACACTTATTCTCTGTGTGTAACTAGTTGTGGAACTCTGTAATGCTCTCCATCTGTTGCAAAAGAAGCTTCTTTGCTGAGTGGTGACTGACATAATATATACATATATATATATGGTATTGAATTCTAGGTATTGATAAGTTGACAGAAGTATGTAGCAGGAAACTTTCTGGTGATCATAACTTCTGGAAAATAAAATGTCCTTTAATGAATTTGACAGCAGGTATAATGATGGTTCCTCAAAGAGGTTCAGAAACTATCCCCATAAACTGGGGATTTCCTAGATTACCTAGCAAACAGCAATCAAAGGTGCAGGTGGTATACCCATAGACTGGGCTGCTCTCAATCTTGGCCAAGAAGCTTCTTTCTGCAGTGGGCAGCCTTCAATGGAGAGAAGCAGGAAGAGTAAAAGTGCTGAGAATAAGAGACGAGCTGCTCAGCCCTAAACAGGACAACTGCTTTAACCCCATCACCCCCAGGGCTCAGAGAACATCACAGAAGAGGAGACAGAAAGAATGTAAGAGCCAAAGGATGGGGAGGAGTGCTGTGAAACACTGACTTCTGGACATGACATGACTGATGCAGTCATGAACTCACAGCAGCTATGGTTATCTGCACAAGACCTGTACAAGATCAAGTCACTCAAAATACTGACATGATGGGGTAGATGATCTCCAGGTCCCACTTATTTTTTTAAAACAATTTATTTTATGTGTAAGTATTTGGCCTGCATGTATGTAAGTGCACACATGTCATACAATGCCTGAAGAGGCCAGAATAGGATGTCAGATACCTTGGAAATGGAGTTATGAATGGTTGTTATTCACCATATGGGTGCTCAGATCAGGACCCAGGTCCTCTGCAAGAGCAGCCAGTGCTCTTAACAGGTAACTTATCTCTCCAGCCCCCTAGATCCCACTGCTTACTGTGGAGCTATTGGCAGTGAATAGTTGCAAAAGACAGAGAATCTTCTTTTTAAGGATGTGACCATTGATAGGGTTCCCACACACCAGTGCATGGTCCCACACCCATGCACATATGGGTAGCACTAACTGAACTTGGTGAGTTATTAAAAGAATGAAAAAGACATGAAGATGGGAAGGGGAATAAGTGTAAGGGAGATGGAAGGAGTTAAAAGAGAAAGGGGGTAGAATTGATTTTCATTGTATGCATGTATGAAATTCTCAAAAATAACGGGAAAAATAAGTTTTAGGTGAGAGTAATGTTGCTTTTTGACGGATAAAACTGAGAAATTATCCAGATGGACCCAATATAAGGGCAAGCATCCTTAAAAGCAGAAGACAGGGGACGAAGGAAGCTAAAAGAAGATGTTCACAAAAGAAAAGCACATGTGATATAACCATGGATTTAATACAATGAAAGGCCACAAGACATGGAACAAGGAGAGCTCTAGAATCTCAGAAAGACAAGGAACAGAGTCTCTTTGATTGCCTCCAGAAGGACCCACCTCTTCAGACTCCTTGATTTTAGTTCCATGAAACCCATTTTGGGCACCTTACACTTCTTAGCATAATCATTTTTCTTCTACAAAAAATGATGCGGTTCTCAAATGATTTTGAGTTTTTGAGGCTTTTATTTATATTTTTATTAAATTTTTGTGCATCCATACATCTTAATCATATTTGGACCCCCTCCTCTATTTTCACCCCTACATTGCCCCCCACTGGATTTCATGCATTCTATCATATATGATAAGATCTATTCAGTCAAGTTTGTGTATTCAGATGTCCCTCAGTGGACATCTGGTCCGCCTATCTAGCATCACTCCCTTAAAGAAGACCAACCCTCCCTCACCCAGCAGTGATCAGCTACCAATAGTTCCTCAACTAAGGTTGGGGCTCCTTACCCATTTCACCATTTCTATGCTTGGTTTTTGTCTGGTTTGAATTTGCATGGGTCTTATGTATGCTGTCACCACTGCTGTAAGTTCATATGAGTAAGTTCCCAGAAGCCTGG